ACAGGCATATCGAACTGGGACAGAATGTTGACGTTCACAGTCATGAAAATCACATTGTCCATTTGTTTATTTGATCTCTCGATGACTGGATAATCTAATTGTTGATTTGAAGGTGTGTGGACCATGAGATTGAACCAAACCAACAACAGCCTCACTGATTCAAAATCCTCGCCCAAGAATGTTCGATCAGGGTTAGTTTTGCAGGACTGAGAGATCAGATCAGATTTTTGATCTATATGAGGAAATCACGCCTTTGTGATCTGGAAACAAGGTACCTGAGCAACAGGAGCATCAAACGTTTCTTGTCCTAATCACATGTGACATCGAACCCACCGGTTTGCGTGATTATACACGATTTACTACAAGGTCTGGTGATGGAAGTTCACATAGTAGGCTGGGGAAACCGAAATGACAACTATATATTCAGAAGTACATGGTTGTTGGAACAAAACCAAGAGAAACTAAGCTATCAAATAAAATGGTACAATCGATCGACTGAAATTAAAAATAATGCCATAGAATGAATTTGATCTGCATTTGAATAGTCACTTGTTAGTTGATTCATACTTGAAGCCGCGGGTGATATATATATATATATATATAAAGATAGATTTCGGGATTGCCGATCAAGCTATGGTAAGACGAATATGGTCAAACGAGCAAGCAACTGAACAGAAGACATTAGTAAATACAACGGAATGACCTGATCGGAATTGAATTTGGTGCTTCAGTGAAACCTCTTATCCATTACAGCTCGGTTTTTTTCAAAACCGATAGAATAATTTTTCCGAAATCGAAAGAAGTCATTTGCAAGTACAAGAACAGGTAATTGTGGGACGCATAAGGTCAAACACCGGGATTGGGAAATCAATTGCTTGTTTCTGCCTGTCACTCACACAGTGGCCAAATAATACGCATAACTCATCAACTTTTTCAGTTTGATTCAGCTCCGGACGAAGAACAAAGGAACCATTTTGCACTGTGCATTCTATTTCCCCAAACCGGTTCCGTATTACGAGGACAAAATACCAACAAACAGTAGGGAGTTTATTTGTTTTATTTTTTTTTCACTGATGTTGTTCTCTTGACAGGACGACTTAAAAATGGAAGGAGAAAGTGGCGAACCACTTTGCGGCGAATTTTTGGTTGGTTACGCAACAGGTGAGCGCTGACCAGTTGAGCATCAGTGCGAATAAGTCGAACGGGTCTTTCTTTGTTCGCGTATTTGTTTCTGTTTTAGTCAATTTTGTCCAGCATACGCAACGATTAAACGAACCGGTTCTTTGAAAAGTGAGAGAGAAGGAACACTTTGGTCATCGCTCAGCGTGTGACAGGTTAGGCTGTCGCTAATTGTTCTGTGACTGGCGGTTACTATGTTTGGAAACGATAGGTACAGAAATTCGAGTGTATTGGACGGCATAGTGTGGCAGGCGAGAGCGGTGGAAAGAGGGGAGGGGTAAGTACAATTGGCTAGAGCAACTTGCTTCCTACCCCGCTAAACTGGTTGTACATTTTTAAAGAAGACCGTTCAAATGAGGCTGAGTGGCGAATGAAAAGAAGGTTGATTCGATGAGAAGCGTCAGTAACAAAATTTCATGAAGCCAACTATGTTCAAACAGACAAAGAGATCAAGCTACAGTCTAGACGAGTAGATAGACTGAGTAGACGAGCGATTCTGTAAAGATTCAAATGTGTTTGGAAAAAAATTACGACTCATGATAAAGGCCGAGAAGAACAAAACAAAAAGAGCGGGGTGGGAGAGGGAAATGAACAAAACAAAACGCAAAAATGTTGAAGATACTGTTAACCTAACCCGGAGAAGTGGACAATCAAAGAAACAGACAACCGAGTGGAGCACGGAAGATACAAGAGGAAGAAGAGCAGAATGAGTCGGAGCCGGTGGGTATAATAATTGAAAGATAATCACCGTAGTAATAATGGTGGTAGTGTGTCTAAATGTACAGTTAAATGAAAGAACAAGGCACATAACAAGAGGGAGGGGCAGATGCGAAAAAAAGCAAACAAAACAACTGGCTGGGGAGTGGTGACGGGAAACTCCGTGTGAAAGACAAATACAGCATATCCGACTAAGCTTGTGAATGTGAACGTACAAAGAAATGAAAATGGGAAAGAGTAGAGTTGTGGAAAAGTGTTGGACCCCTTGTGACTGAGACCGGGGAGGGTGGTAGGATAAGCATGCAAGTAAACAGGCGGCTGAAGCATAAACAAGATGCTCGGTCAAGGCTAGCAATAGACATGGATACCCAGATATTGACCGTACGTGAATACAAGTAAACGGTATATGCAGTCAAGGTATCCGAAGTCAGGCAAGGCACTGGATTATTTGAAAGAGAAAAAAAGTGTTCAAAAATTACGATGAAAGCTAACTGAGTAGAGTTGGAGATGAGCGAACTGGGGAAAAATGGGACGAAAATATGTGAACAGTGAACAAGTCATAGAGGTAGAAAAATATGGTGGCCCACAATAGTGACGAATCTAGGTTTCTCGGCAAACGGAGAAAAACTAGAAAGCAATTACGTCAAAAGTTTACAATTTTGTTTATCTTTTGTTACCGGAAGTGAAAAAATAACAAGTGGGATAGCGATGAGGATCGACGGTTTGATTACAGAAAAGTACAAAAAGTGGGCAAATAATGAAAGATAGGGAATGTCTTTCAACTAATCACACGTTGTTAGAGTGGATGCAACAGACGGCACGGGACAGGATGGTCATAAGGTTCTATCAAAATGGGGATGAAGTTGGTTATGGTGGGGGCAGGTGGTGGTTAGAAAGTGAAAAGTATGCGCACAAAGCCGATCTGTGTGAAACAGCTAAAGTGGTGACTGACCGGCTGACTGACTGATTCGTTGATGAACCGATTCGCTGAAATGTGAAATACAATTTGATATGCTATATTTGGAAACGTTGAAATCATACGGATAGGGATGTTAGTGCAAATTTCAAATCGTATTCATGAAGTAACAGTTATCGATCAACAGTGCGATTACCACACAATGGCAGTTCGTGTGATGAACTACGATGCTACGTGATTGCAATATCTCTTTTGACTACTGGTTTCGGAAAGTAGTCAGATAAAAAAGGAAAATAAAATCGACCACCGTGCAGGCAGATTATTCCATTCGTATAAATCATGAAAATGGTATGTAATCAACGAAACACAAACAGCTATAAATAACTTTTAAGGGAACGACAAACTGAAGTGAAGTTCAAACGCTTGGGCGCATATGTCTGCACTCTCAGCTGCTGTAGAACCCACATAAAACTTTACAAATCTATGCTAATTATTCAGAAGTATTTGTCACAAATTACTACCTCAAAAAATTCGGGTTCTCAACCAGTGTCTTCTTCTTCCGCTATGTGATTTTATTCGATGTACCTCATAAGTGATGTATCTGACATCAGC